ATTTTAATGACAAATCTCCTTCTACAAGCTCAGGGTCTTGGGAGAATCATCAACTTAAGTCGAAAGCATGAAATTCGTGTTTTGGAGGTATTTTTGTAAATATATCAGCAGTTTGTTCTCTGGATTGGATGTGATTAAGGGTCTGTTTGAGGCAGTTTACTTGGTGCGGTGGTGTTTTGAAAATGCGTCTGAGCTATTTGGGCAAACTGTATTTTCGCAGCTTATGCGTTTTCAAAACGCGGAAAACAGCGTTTTCATACGGCACTTGTCTAGGTGTGGTGGCAGCTTTCTGGCTGGGGTCTGGCTTTTCCAAAAAAATAAAAATTTGTAAAAGCTACCGCACCTAACTTATCAGCAGATTATTTTTAATCAGTTAATCAACAGATTATTCAATAAGCTGCAGCTGCCCCAAACAGACCCTAAGTTTAGTCGTGTTGACAGTGATGTGATCACGTAGAAAATGACGCTCAATCTTGATATATTTGGTTCTCGCATGTAAGATTGGGTTAATGGCAAGAGATATTGCTGATATATTGTCACAATACAAGGGGGTCGGCTTGAATATAGTAACTTTGAGTTCTTCAATGAGACGTCAGAGCCAAATGATGTCGGCATTAGTTATGGTGAGGGCACGATATTCAGCTTCACATGATGACCCAGCCACTGTTGATTGCTTCTTAATTATCCAGGAAATATGTGTATCTCCTAAAAAAGAACACACTCAAGTGACAGATTTCCAGTCAAACCGATGTCCGACCCAATCTGCATCAGCATCTGTGCATTTAGAGATCACAAGGATTGATTTTCAAGCCAAAGTGACTCGTGCTCTTCAGGCAACGAAGAAGATGAGTAAGGTGGGTGTAGTGAGTCGTGGACGGCACATGCATATCTTAAAAAGATAATTAACCACATAGAAAATGTCTGATATGATGATCGTAAGATGCTAAAGGGATCCTGTGAGCTGGTAAAATAATGTTAGTTTGTGAAATGGTGGAGTGGGTTCATCAGGCCTTAACTGAGGCTTTAGCATAGGTGTGTTGAGTGGATGGCAATCCTTCATGCCTTCAAAATAGAGAAATTGTATGACATACCTTTATTGGCATAAGAAATAGTGGCGATTGACTCGTTGAATATCGATGCCCAGAAAACAACCAACCGAGCCTAAATTTTTGAGCTGGAACTTGGATGCAAGACCTTTGATGAGTTGCGAGATATATTGGGGTAGTTGTCGACAATTAGAATATTATCTACGTAGATGAGAACGAAGAAATGAACATTGTGTTGATTGTAGGGGAGCATGGATGGGTTGGCCTTGCTAATCTGAAACTCTCTTGAAGTGAGAAATGTTGAAAACAATGCGAACCATTGACGTGATGCCCGTTTCAGACTGTATAAGGATTTCATGAACCAGCAGACATGATGGAGAAACAGTGAGTCATGGAAACCCGGTGGTTGACACATATAGACTATCTCATTGAGTGTTCCATGAAGAAAAACATTCAATATGTTGAATTGGATTACGAACCAGTTGTGATTAAGTGCGAATGTAAGGAGAATATGGATTGTAGGCATCTTCGCCACAGGACTGAATGTCTCGGAATAATTAATGCCATATCCTAGGTGATTTCCTTGGGCAATGAGGCAAGTCTTGTATCAAGTCACCATACCATTGGAGCTAGCCTTTTTTATGTTGTATGTCCTCCGTGAGTCGAGTATAACCTGATCAAGCGGTGGGGGAACTAGAACCCATGTGACCTGCTTCTGATGAGAATTAAATTTATGAGTTAAATAATATAATGATAGTTTTAAATAAGATTTAAATAATATAACAATAAACATAGCAAATTTATACGAAACAATTTTGAGCTTGAATAGAACCTACTAAAAAGTGGACCCAAAGCTAAACCAATTATACCGGACTGTGGTCCGACTAGGGTTTAAAGCATGCTAATAACTCGTCATGTAGGGTTGTCATAACGGCTCAGTGTTCGCAAACAGCCCATGTTTGGCTCGTTCGCTAAGTTAACGAGCCGAACACGAACAAATATGTGTTCGTTCATATTCGGCTCGTTTTGGCTCGAAATACTACTAATCAATTATATATATAGCTTTGATGAGTAGTATTTTTTAAAAAATTAATTGACTACAGGACTACAAAGATTTATAATCAATTAAAAATATTAATAAAAAAAATAGAATAAAAAATATTAAATTAGAGCTTAAAATCTTATCTCAATTTTAAATATGTTATGACTACATGGTTATGTTTGTCAAATTGAGTCTTTGTTGCCGAACGACTTTTGTTCAGCCCGTTTTCACCCGTCATGAAATAAAATAATTAAAAAAGAATTTCTTTTGTCAGACTACAGCAGCGTGGCATAATATGCCACTGATCTCCTGTCGACAGCACACATCGGTTACCCCAAAAAGCAGAAAATAAGGTCATGTCATTGGGTCCCAATTGTCATGTCCTTTTAACCAGAGTTGCTGATCCTGTCCTGTCAACCTCATCACTTCTCACACTTTAAATGACGAGATACAGCTACGGGATATGATAGTAAGCCTTTTTTATACCCTTTTTACTGGCTAAAGGTGAATGTTATATCAGTAAAGTCATGAATTAAAAGCTCCACATTCTATACAATGAGCATTCTTTAATTTTGTATTTTTGGTCATTCGAATACATGGTGGAAGTAGAGGATGAATACGATTCCACCATATTTTGTATTTTTGGCTCGGAGATGATGTTTTTGTCGCGTTGTTTAGGATCTGGAATTCTCTAGACAATCAGAAGAAAATGGAGCAGATAAAACAGAACAGGTGATTAGACTGTGGAGGCATGGGCCCTCCAAGAATATTGATGGGGAGCTCCCACATATGAAATATAAGTGGAGGTTGATAAGATTTCATTTATTTTATAAAATTTTTCATAGTTCGAAGATGTATTCTAACTATTTCATTTTATTGATAAACTATAGAGATTGAACGACAGCCCTCCGCTGCCAATGTGCATAACACCCACAAGAAACGGTCCTACCATTCTCAGATTGACGACAGATCCCGTGAGACCGAGGTAATTGATGAACTAAACTATTTTGATGTTAATACATGTTAATTCTAACTGAATGCAATTTCTTTTGTTTGTAAGAGAGATTCCATGAGCTGAAAAAGAGCCAATCTTAGGTGTCGAAAGGTCTTATAATCCACGAGTGTGATCATTCGAGTACAACCTGTGGAGGGAAGAAAAAAGATTGAGCAACAGAATCGGGTTGTATGGTTTTACCTACGACGCTTACCCCTCCATCATTGCATCTGCAGCTTCTACCTCTATCGCACAGGATGAAGAGATCTCTAGGCATGTTACAACATTCTCTGTCGAGATGGAGGTCCACTTCCTCATATGAGGTCGGAGTTGGAGGCCAATATGGAGGTCAAGTTGAAGACAGTTGGATTCCTTCCAACAGCGGATGAGGGAGTGTGGCAAGAGTGACACTAGATGAGTAGGAAGCAGTGGAGGATTTATCGCACAGGATGAAGAGATCTCCAGGCATGTTACAACATTCTCTGTCGAGATGGAGGACCACTTCTCTCAGATGAGGTCGGAGTTGGAGGCCAATATGGAGGTCAAGTTGAAGACAGTTGGATTCCTTCCGACAGCGGATGAGGGACAGTGGAGGATGATGAGGATGAGGTTGACAAGATGGATGAGGATAATTAGGAGTGGCTATTTTTATGTTTATGTACATTAAGCAGTGGAGGATGATGAGGATGAGGATGAGGTTGATAAGATAAATGAGGATGATTAGGAGTGGCTATTTTTATGTTTATGTACATTAAGACATATATTTTTTATGTGAACAGTGAGCATAATTTATAGTAAATGCATTTTATTTATGTTATTATTTGATTGAATAAAATATTGTTTGACGACTATGTTATTTCATTAAATGCTTGCGATAGTATGTGTGGTAATGTAAATACGAAAGAAAAATAATTGTTTTTTTTTCCTTAGGTAGTAGGCAAAACTGACGGCTAGCCGATCAACATTTATACCGATGTCTAACCAACATATAACCAACAGCTTAAAGTGCATAAAAAAAAAAGACAGGTGCGACACTTTTTTGGCTGTTAACTCGTC